AAAAAAAAAAAAAAAAAAAAAAAAAAAAAAAAAAAAAAAAAAAAAAAACATAAAAATACAATATTAGAAACTAATTTTGAGAATGAAAAAGATGAATTTAAGGTTGTAATGAAAGTAATAAAATAGCGCAGAAAAAAAACAGTGTAGTCATGGTCCATCATCACCATCGCCGATCAAATTGCAGATATCTGAACACTCCACCAAACTGCAAAATCTCCCAAACTCAACCAATTATTAAGAAGGTTCAAAAATAGGTTTTGAAGTAGACATTATTATATGAACACAACTCTCCACAAATAATATGGTTATTGTCTATTTTGAGTATAAGCTCTCGTGGCTTTATTTTGAACTTTTTCAAAAAGCTTCATACTAATGGAAATAGTGTTCTTTTATTATAAACTCATAATCATTTCCTAAATTAGTCGATGTGAGACTTTCATCATCCAACCGATATGACTTATTTAACAACCTAATATATGCAAACACGAACTAATAACTTCTTCAAATTTTAGTGGTGGTTAGAGTTGGTCACCTACAATAGTCGGTGGTTAACAATTACCGAACCCAATTGTCAATAGTTGCAACAAGGTTGAGGATCACTGACTAATGACTATGATCAAGGGTCGCCAATTGAGATTAGGGACCAACAAGTAGCATCTGGGATCAAAGACCATCGACTGAGACTGGGGATTGGTGATCCATGGCTGGTGATAGGAGAATATTGATTGAGATTGGGGGCTGATGAACAATGATTGGGGGCTGATGAACAATGATTGGGACCGAGCGAACAATGACTAGTGTCCAGGACCGGTGGCAAGAAATGGAGTCCAGCAACAACTGACCATTACTGAAATGGTCGTTGATCACTGGCCTCTAGTTGGTGGTAATCCCCAATGGATAACCCTTTTGTCTTCAATTTTAAACTTGGTTTCAAATGTTTCATTTACTGACTTCTTGCTCAAACAAAAATGGAATAAAATTAAAATTACTTTGAGATTCAAAGAGGCATACGTACCAGTATTGACGACTTCGAAAACCTTGCTTGAAAACAACAATCGGTCTGCAAATAATAAACGAAGAAATTCCAGAGATCAAACACAAAGAATTCCGCTTAATTTCCTACAAATTTGTGTGTGTTCATCAATTGCCATTTTCCAATAATCTATACTTACCTTCTGATGTTCAGAGGGCCTTCTCCGGGAGATCCATCGCCGCCTCGAATGCAAGTTCCAACGCACTTGATCGTGCACGATTCCGCCTTCCTCGACTTTGGCCGTTGAATTCTCGCCTTCTTACAGTCGCTCGGCTGCGCGCACTCGCCGGAAAGCGTCTGCGGAATGTTAGACAGCGTAGTACTTTCTTCTTGTTGTTCCGATAAGTTGCTGCTACTCTCGATAGCGGCTGACGGCGCCGGCGAAACAATCACGACTGCGGCTGCCAAAATCGCCGCTGCAGTGGTTGTAATCCGGCAACTGGCTCTGGTTAGCGCAAGCGGAGCGGTGAATCGGACGACGGCGCTGTTCCAATTTGGATGCGCTAGGGCTGGTATCGGTGGAAATGGACCTTTTACATGGCTTATCATTCTGATGTTTTGGATTCGATTTTGACTCTACTCTGCTCTGGCTTTCGAGAATCGAATCATCTTCCTCTTCTTCTGGATAATGTGTTGATTTTTGAAACGCTTTTTTGAAGATTGGCGTTCAGCCACGTGTTGATATGGATGGCTTGAATATAATAGGATGGGAAGAAAAGGGATAACTAGTTTCTGGCCCTGCTTTTATCACACCCACCAATTTACCATTTCAACCTTAAATCATACCCCCCAAATTAACTAATTTATTTTTAAAATTTAATTTTTAAAATGGGTTAAAAATATATTTATATTAAACAGGATGGAGACCGGTCAGACCAAGATGAGAATAGAGAATATAATCCCGTCTCTGCCCCCATTTATCCAACGGGATGCATCCCAGTTTCTCCCTCATTCTCCGTCTAAATGAGGAATCCCCCTCCATTTAGGGCGAGTCCCCACAGGGTTACGATCTTGCGAGTAAAATAAACATCTCAATTTTAAATAATTATAAACACCATGCGTCAAGTTCCTCTTTTTTTTTTTTTGAAGTAATCAGTATATCTTTATAAACATCGACAAGTCTCTTCAGCTTTTTAATGTGAGATCTTTGACAAAAGAGTACACATGAAAGATATTACAAGTGTCTAAACTTCATGAATTTGATCGGAGCATAAATACTCATAGATGAAGTATGCTTATTGTAGTGACATCCTACATTTTATCCATCCAAGAGTTTGAGAATACAAATATGGTACACCTTGTATTATACATGTGCACGACGAGCACGGAGTCGATACTGAAGGATACGGTCTCTTCAACGACATCTATAGCAGCAGATAATGAACAAAGGTAATGGGGGGCGAGATCGAGTCCTATTAGAACTATGTGATCAGTATGATTTCTGAGCTTTCCAGCTACATTGTTTCAGGAAGATCTTGTCCCTTGGTTTCAAATGGGAAGAACACAACACATATCCCGGACACAAAAAATACAATCTCAAACAAAACAATGGCCGCTGTTTGATGGCATCCTTTAACCAAAGCTACTGCCACAAGAGGGCATAACATTCCCCCTATTCTTCCAATAGAGCTAGCAACCCCAAAACCAGTTGTTCGGATTGAGGTCGGATATATCTGTGGTTTGCATAGATTGTAAGAGTCAAGGCAAGAACAATTGTTGTACCAAGAAACGTAAGGAGAAAAATAAAGATGTTCTTATAAGAGAGTGCAAATTTGTAACAATCATGTCATGATAAAGCACGCAAGAAAGTAACATGAAGAGTAAAAGAGTTCAGTTTTAAAGAAGGAAGGCATATGATAGGAGAAAGCAAGTCCAGATAAAAAAAACCATAGTATCAAAAGCAGACAACAACAGACCATTCTCTTAAAACATCACAATGTTATCTTGGCAATGTAAAGTTTAGTGTTCCAACTTACCTCAGGAGCATATATACAGACAACTGTGAATGTAGATGTGATACATATGCGAGCTCCAAACAAAAGGCTCGTTGTCAATCCATCAATCCTATAAAACGCTAGAGGAAATAGAAATGTGGCGCCCAGGAAGAACAGTGAAGACATCGATAGCTTACGCCCGATTTTGTCAACCATGACAGCTGCTAATGCGAGACCAGGTAACTCTTGAAAGAAAATTTGTGGTTAGATTATCATCCATGCAACAAAAGGTTGCCCCTAACTAGAGGAAACTTTGGAACAACCAGAAGACTGTTACCTGCAAAACTAGAGATAAAGACATATCTGAAGTGGAAATCTTCATGTTCTTTTAGATGTAAATCAGTAGACGTACAGCTACTTGTCCCAGTCAACTCAGAGGTCAGCAACACGAGGCCATAGTAAGAGAAGGCATTGCCAAAGAAAACCACCCAGAGGAGCAATGTAGACACAATCAGTTCTCGAGAAAGAAGCTTTAACAATGGAGAGAGACCCACCATATTAAATTTTGTTGCTTGAGAAGTTTCAACTTTCGTTTGTGTTGGTGAAAGCAAATGTGCATCTTCCAGGGGAATACGTTGCTTCTCAAAATCACATGTGTCACTAGAAACAAGAACACCAGGAGGGAGATTTGTTCTATTACGTCGTGCTATTTTCTCTAAAATAATAGCTGCATCACTTGTTCTACCTTGTAAAATGAGATATCGTGGGGACTCTGGAGTAAATTGGTAGAAGAGTAGTAGGAGAAATGAAGGAAAAGAAGAAAGTGCGAGGAGCCACCTCCAACCCAATTTTGGCATGACCATCTGCAAGTAAGAGGGTATACATAAAGGTGACTGCAACCATTTTAATGGTCTCGGCTGGAAAGCATAGACTAAATAAATAAGAAAAATGTAACGGCCTAAGTCCACTGCTAGCAGATATTGTTCTCTTTAGGCTTTCTCTTTCGGGCTTCCCTTAAAGGTTTTTAAAATGGATCTGCTAAGGAGAGGTTTCCACACCCTTCTAAAGAATGTTTCGTTCTCCTACCCAACCGACATGGGATCTCACAATCCACCCCCTTTGGGGCCCAGCGTCCTCGCTAGCCCTCGTTTTCTTCTCCAATCGATACGGGACCCCAATCCACTTCCCTTCAAGATCCAACATCCTTGCTGGCACACCTCCTTGCTGGTACATCGCCCGATGTTTGACTTGATACCATTTATAAACGTGTCATATATGACAGACGGTATCCATATAGCTACTTTGAAATTTTATCGAAGGAAACAGTAGAATACTGCGTGAAATTTATAAGAGTTAAAAAATCTAAAAAATTAGATATCATTTGCAAACAAATGTCAAAGTTGATTGACCAGAATGAAACATGCACTGAACCATAACTGAAAAGCTAGATTATACCCATGCCAATGAAGCTTCAAGGATTGTTCCAATGGTCCAGAATGCTGAAAAAATAACCATCCAAGTGCCTCTTTCAGGAGCAGGAATGAATTCCAAGAACCAGGATGCAAGTACAGGGCCACCTCCCAACCCAACGCCAACTAGACAGCGAAGAATTAACAAAGATATATAATTTGGGGCAAAAACACTTAGAAATCCAGCGATAGAAGTGATTGTTGCTGTAATGAAGAAACCTTTCCTGAATGAGAAAAGTCAAAATGAAAAACCAAAGGAAGTATAGAATCAAGATTGTCATAAACGTTCAGTTCTATATCATAAGAACTCAATTTCAAAGTTTGGAATATAATACAATCTTTCATAAGTATGCAAGTAGATTGTTCAAAATGTATTAAGAAGTGGAAGGAAGTCACATAATCAAGCTTACATGTTTAAATGAAAGTGAAATGATATTAGAGTAAAGGAGGACCTGCCTTCGTCCGTATATATCAGAAACTATGCCCCATGAATAGGCCCCAACTAACATGCCTGCAAAAACCACACTGGTAATCAAAGACTCTTCACGGGGAGAAAGGCTCCACGCAGACTGAACTGCAGGTCCAACAAAGGAGAGTAACATCATTTCCATAGCTTCTGAAACCCATCCCATTCCAGCATAAACAAGCACAAGAATTTGGTAATTCCCAAAACCCATGGATACAAGAGCTTCATCAATAGTGTACCTCGGACTTTCACCTCCATCCTCCACCTTACAAGACAAGAAATGCGCACTAATTACTCGCAAGTTTCATGCAAATAATTCATGTGGGAAATTTCCACTTATCTACAGATTTCACAATTCTTTCCTTTTGATAATAGTTTAAATTGATTGGCCCTTATAAGATAGCTGTTGGGTGTTCTGTTCCTTTGAATAATTGATCTTAAGAGATGGTTTGAACACAACTTGGAGGCACAAAACCTTCCTGCAAATCTCTAGATGTATTTGTAGAAACCAACGGAGCCCCATCCATCAAAAGCAAACAAAAACTACATTGGAAGAAAGGGCTCAAAGACTCATAAACAAATTACGCAACATATAAAAACCGTTCATTCAATTCCTCAAACCAATTATCACAACAATCAAAAGTTGATCCATGTTCAACTCCTCACTAAAAACACACCCCAACCATAACAATTCCTTCAATCAAAACTTCTAAAAAGGAGTTTTCAAGACGAAAACAAAACAGTACATGAATCAAAACAAACAAAAGACCAGTTGACAGATTTGCAGGAAAAAGGCAATGCACAAATGCAAGAAACAAGATTATAGAATCCTAGCAGAAGAGTGTTCCCCACTTCATATCAACTCCAAAATCACAGGAAAGAATAACAAATGAATGAATCGAGTGTATAACGGATACAAATATTCATAACTAATCGACTAACAAATACGTATCGAAGGATAAGAGAGAAAGAAGACGAACCTGCTGTGGTTCTGTAGAATTAACAAAGGGACGTTCCTCCATTTCAAGTCCCTGAATCGATTATGGCATCTGGAGATGACGCGCGTTTTATTTGAAGACTTCAACGTACAAAATTAACTTCGCCAAATTTCCTGTTTTGCCCTTCACTATTTCTACCTTAGTATTAATTTTCTTACCTAAATTTTGTGTTAGAATAAATTAAAAAAATTTAAATTAAGATTTATTAGATTTTTAAATTATATTTTACTAGTAAGTGACTATATTTAATTTATTTGATTCAAAATTAAAATTTTGAAAATTTATTAGATTAAAAGACAGTTTCCCAAAGTTGAAGAATTATAATTAAACCGTTAATTTAATCTCAACTTTATGAAAATAATTATGTATAGTTAACGAGTAATTAAATATCCAATTTTTTTTTTTAGAAGTTATCTCAAACTTATCTGAATCTACGTCCCAAGATGCTTTTGACATGCTAAAAGTACTTTTGTCGTATGTAAAAGAATTTATTCTTTGAACCGTATGTTTAGATATGACGTAATAGTGTTTTTGGAAAAATTAAAAGTAGAGGGATCTTTTGTCGGAGTTTTGTTTATGGAGAATAAGATGCCTCGTAATAAAATGTCAGAGGACAAGATGTCGACGAATCAAATAACGGTGTTTGGTATTGCATAAAAAATGCTACTACAGTTTTATATAAATAAAATATTTTCAATAATTTTATTACATGTTATAAAAAATCTATATAAAAAATTAATATTTTGTAGTCCTCAATTACTACAAAGAATTTTATTTTATTACTTTTGTTAGTTTAGTTTTATTAAATTAAATTATTAAAATAATTTTAATCCATTAAATTTTAGTTTAATTTTAATTCATTGATAAATATATCATAAATAATATGCCTTTTGAATTTTAAGTTGTTTAAACGTTAATATTAATAATTATTCTCAAATAAATAATTTATAAGAAAAATTGAAAAAATAAATAATTTAAAGAATTAGAAAAATCATATTAAAAATAAAAAGAGACGAGATAAAAAAAAATATATACACCTCTTTTATTAAGTTTAAATCTCTCATAGATTTATATTTCCTCTTTATTTATATTATATTTTCCCCCAACAAAAACAATCTTTATCCTGTAAAAAAAAAAATATAAAAATCTCATTTATTTTTTAGTTTATATGTTTTTTTTAATTAATAATTTTTAATTTTCAATATAATTTATATTTTAAAAAATGTAAAATATTCTAATAAACCGTTCTCAACATTTTTGTTTATAGTGTGTTTGGGGCAGAAAATATAATTCTCGTTAGTTAATGAAGAGTTAATTAACTATTAATCTAAAATACATTTATATATATATATATATATTATATATTAATAATAGTGTAGATTTGGTAGAACTAAAATGGAAAGTTTAACATCATTTTAAAACCTTTTTAAAATTTTAAAAATAATAGATATAATTGGGAAAGCTTAAGTCCTATTTTTTTATTTTTTTATTTTTTTATTTTTTTTAATTCTTGAGTCAACTATAACCGTGGTTCAAGTTGACTTAGCGTTAAAGCTAACCTAATCCAATTTTCAATAATAGAAACATAATTTTTTTTATTTTTTTTTTCATTTCGTACCTGGTTATAGAATAGCAATCATCCACCTATTCAATTATATTATACTAATAAAATATGAAAATATAAACAATTTCTATACTGAAGTAATTCCTTTTGAAAGAAAATAGAATGATTCTCACTTTATCCTCAACAAGCTCTGAAGTGACTTTGGCACACGAATGCCCACATATGAAATTGAGCACAATTTTGCAAAGAAATAGCCCACTTGTTTCTCGAGAAGAGATGAGAAACATGCTCAATATCACTTGGATTGTTGTTGCATATTTAGCTCCTGTTGCAGCTGCTACTGCTGTTTTCTTGATCTACCCAATTCATAGCCCAGCTCAAACTGAACGCGATGTAATCAAACTAATGGTTGACACAACATTCTTCTTCGTTTTATCTTTTATTTTTTTGAAATCTTCTCATAATATCAAGTTTAATTCATACAACCATCTCAATGATCACTTTGCCTTTAACTTCTAGTATGGTGGCAATCAAAGCTTCACACAGTGATGTTTTGAGATGGTGTCGCGTTTAGGGTAGCCACTAAATGCATGCTTACATAACCAACATAACCAACAGATGGGAGATTTCAAAAAGCCAACCGTAAGCTCTTCGTAGATACTTCTAATTGTCTTCATCACTTTAGTCCTTTTTTTATTGCTCACATTGAGAGTGTTGACCAAAGACCAACTCTAAAAACTATTAGTTCCTAAGGTTAATAATCCTTCTATTTAATTAATACAAATATTTTTAAGTGTAGAATAATACAAAGTTAATAATTTTCAAGTTTTAACACAATTGGTGAATATCCTTGATTCTTATCGAGGGGGATTTCCCAGATAACGTTTGTATCCACATTGTTACCTTATGCTCGTGTTTTAACACAAATCTTTTGTGAAAAACACTCACACTTTTATTGAAAGCAATCAATAAAAAATTAAAAGATACTCTTTAGAATACTTTTTACAATTTGCTTTGCTTGATATGGTTTGAAATTTATTAAAAATTTCTTAGGAGGAAGAACTTAATAGGGTGTAGGAGTATTTATAAAAGAGGCAGATTATCTATTTATAAAATATTTAAATACTTTAGACTTTCAAAAATTTCAATAATACCAATTTCCAAATTTTTTTTTAATTAAAGTTTAAAAACACTTATCCCGTTAGTTTTGGAGAGAAACTGTTAATACTTTATTAAAAAAATTTCCTTTGAACTTTTAAAATGGTTTAAAAATACTCTTGAGTTTTCGAAGGATTCATTAATATCTTGAATTCTTTTATAAAAAGACTTAAAAATTGCCTCTAATTAAAAAAAAAAATACACAGTGTACCACGTTTCAAAAATACTTAGGAGGGTGAATTAAAACGTTAATAAATAAAACCATTATGTCGAGTTTAAACTATATAATTTTAGTTTGCATATCCAAATTAAAATCCGCAGTAGCACAATTGGAAAGTTTCTGTTGAGAAATTCCAGGTTCAAACCCTGGCTGCGGAAATCTTTTTTTCTTTTCTTATCCGATTTGGGCTTTTGGGCCCGGATAAAGACTAGAAAAGCCCAAGTTTAACAGATTGGTTGATTAAAAAAAAAAAAAAAAAAAATCAGTTCTGGCTCGAAGATAGGCATAGGGACTGGATATTAAAAACAAACCATCAATTAAACATGGGTATCATTTTAGGAGACTTTCAATCACATCAACAAATGGTATAGGTGTATCATTTCATTAAATTTTTTAAAAAATATAATTCATCGTATAAAAAAGATCCTCAAAAATATAAATAGTTTTTAAAACCCATATATTAGGATAGAGGTTTACCCACCAACTAGACAGAATGTTTGGTTTTCCTCCTTCAACTGATGTGAGATCTCACAGTCTACTCCTTCTAAGATCGAATATACTTATTTCGTTCTCCTTCCCAATATGAGATCTCATAATCTACCCTCCTTCCGGACCTAGCGTCCTGGTTGGTACTTGTTCCCTTCCAATCGATGTGAGACTCCCCAATCGACCCCCTTCGGTCCCAACGTCCTTACTGGCACATCGCCTCACGTCCACCCCCTTCGAAGCTCAACCTTTTCACTGACATATCACTCGGTATCTAGCTCTGATAACTAAGTGTACCTTACCAAATATTATTCTCTTTGAGCTTTTTCTCAAGATTTTTAAAACGCTTATGTAGAGAGATTTCTACACTAATGCTTAATTCTCATTTGCAATATTGAAGCATATGCATGTGGGATCCTCCAATTGACAAGTTAGGGAATCGAAGAGCCATCACTCCTTCCAATGCTTCAATATTTAATTTCCTTTTACAATATATTTTATCCCACTTGACATTTAAATAGGGATATATATATATATATGTATGTATACATTTATATTGACAGGTTCAAAGAAAGAAAAAAAGAAGTTAACACCTTCAATCAAACTAGTTTGAATCATTGAAATGGCGGAATCAATTCTATTCAATGTTGCCGCATCCCTTGTAACCAAATTGGGCTCTCCTATAATCCCACAGTTTCAATTGCTTTGGGAGTGGATGATGAGCTTAACCAGCTGAAACATACCATTTCAGCCATGGAAGCTGTGCTTTTTGATGCAAAGGGGCAACAATCCAACACCCATGCAGTGAAGAATTGGATTTCATGGGTCAACGAGGCTTTCTACGATGTCGATGACTTCATTGACGAGTTCGCTTATGAAACCTTGACGCAACAAGTTATGGCCGAAGCTAAAAGAGGGACGAAAGAGGTACGTGAAGTTTTCTATCTGCCTCATCAAATTGCATTTCGATTTAAAATGAGTCACAAAAGACAACCCACTTTATAATAATCCATTTTTCCACCTCATTTTCTTCTATCTTCTCCGTTCAAAGACAACCCACTTTCATATAACATACTTCCTCCGGAAGATACTTCCTCCTGAAGCTTGTGATATGTTACGTGCATGATATGATATAATATGATATTATGTATTGAAGGATATGTTATGTGCATGATGTACATAATACGATGTATGATAGGAATGATACAAAGTAAATATGTTACCCTAATATATGTTTTAAAGGCTATATTATAAAATGATATGATAGGTAGGAAAATGGAAGGAGTTGATTTAAACGAATTAATAAATGAGAAATGTTGGGACCTCATGCCTTGAAAAATTTCCCTATTTAGGATGGGTACGCACGCATACATTCAGAAAAGGAAAATGATTATTATGTTTATCATAATACTATGACGGTCACTATTCCTATTGGATGTCTGGCAAGAGCACCAAAGAATGCTAGTCCGACAAGGAAAGGGGCCTAGGAGGTGTACGAACCGACTAGTGGGTCCATATTTGCAAATATGAGCTATGTGTAGAATAGTTAATACATATCCAATTACCTATTTAGGATAGTCACCTAAGAGAATACAAATTTAAACGATAGGTCTC